AAATGCAAAGTATTGGTCCCTTTTAGAGCTTATTGGTAGAGTCACTACTTAGTACTGCGAATCTTTGATTTTCTGTTCACACGAGTTGGCTTTTGGTGACTCTAATGAGGCTAAATTTGTGCTCAGTAGCTATTTATTTGCCTCCACTAGCTGACCAATGTTCATAGGTTTCTCAGAGTTAACTATTTGTGGTTGCTGAGAAATGTGTTCTCGAACACTTTTGATAAACTGAGAAGCCAACAAATGCGTCATTGACTCTCTCTCTCTCTCAAGTGTGGATTATGCGCGACATAGTAAATTTGTCAGCTTCAGCGCAACAATTAGCAGGTCCTCATCCGGTCCAGCTTAATGACACGGAACTGCTGTCTGTCCGTTGGGCTGTGGAACTCTGCCACCAGTTACTCAACCAATAACTTCCAGGTGTCTTGCCCACTGCCCGCTCCACACTGTCGTAAGCCACTTACCTTCACCTTCGGATCCTGGATGCCCAACAACTCAGAGACTGAATAGAAGCTCCGTAGGAAGTTCCTTATGTCTCCTTCTTTGAAAGAATCAGTTTGCGCATATCTTCAATGATATTTGGCTACTTTTTTCATCAGTATTGTTCTTCATTGTCTTTCTTTTATGTTTCCAATGTTTTTTTAAAAAGTATAGTTCATATTTCTTCTCTTCTCCATTATATCTATCCTTCCACTATTCAATATTCTTGAAGATGATATACACATTTTTAGTCAGTATCTATATACTACTTACAAATCTTGTCAGTAGCACACGCCAGAGTGAAATCAATCTAAATCTCAACAAGAAACTAACAATTTCGATAACAGAAATGTTTTGCATTCAAAATTAACGAAACAAATAAGCACTACATTTTATTTTATTTTATTCTTTCCTCATTACCTGTGGTTGTACTGTCTTCATGAAATTCTACTAAATTGATGTCGAAACATTGAAGTTGTATCATTGTACTTTGATTTGAAAAATATTTAAATGATAAAATTCCATCAGACAGATTGATGATACCAAATTGTTTATGATTATCAGTATTATTATTCGCCAAATTCAAATGAACCGGTAACATTGAACAATTGAACAAATTGATTTGAATTGAATTTAAAGAAATATCAAGTGCAAATTTTGTCCAACAGACATCATTAACAAATGATTTCTAGAATCAGACGACAAAGAAAAGGAGAACAATAAATTTTCTATAGTCAGTTTGTAAGGATTAGTTTTGTTTTTATGAGTTGATCACGGATTGATATCAGTTAGAGAACCATTGAAAACCAGACAAGGAGTACTGGACTGGTGTTTCATCCTAGTTTGGGACTCTTATTAAGCACTGCGCACCCACCGCTAGGCTTCGAAACCAGGGCCTTCGGGTTACAAGCTCGTATACCATTCAGCCACTGGGACTCGATTCAATGGCCCGTGTCTGGCTGAGAGCTAATTAAGGAGCCATTTTTCTCAGAAATAATCTCACTTATGATTTGCCTTCTCCCACCCGTTTCCCTGATGAGCCTAAAGAGTTGCCTAGTGTTGCCTATCGCCGATACTTTTTCCATCTCTTTCGCCTTTGTCAACCACCACTGTTCACGGTCCTTGCGGAGACTTTTCGTAAGTTTCCTTTTGTGCAGCTTTCGCTCCTCATTGAATTCGGAGCTCGCCGGAATAAGTCTTCTAGCATCTATCAGTTCGGATGAGGCAGTCGAAATCCAATGGTTTTTACTCACCTTTGGATTTACCTTATTCACAGCTTTTACAGCTGTATCTATGGCTGACTGAATATTCTTCCAGGCTTCTTCAGGGTGAGCGCAGCCGTCGAACTCAGATATGTGTTTAGCTAGTTCTTCCTCAAATAGGGACTTAATTTCCTGATCGAGCTGGGGACGTGATGGGTTTACCGCTAGCTGTTTCCTACGTCCGTTCAGTCGTAAGCACACACGAGCACGGACCAGTGCGTGATCAGTATCTACACACGTGTTCCAGAAGGAGAGACAATTTCCTACCGACCCACGCCAACGATAGCTTATTGTCAGGAGATGCGACAGCTAGCTCACGAGGATTAGCTGGTGTTGGGATAGCTTTGAGTACTAGGGCCGGTGGCTGAATGGTATACGAGCTTGCCTTGTAACCGGGAGGTCCTGGATTTAGACCTTAACCGGTGGCTGCGTACTGCCGATGATTCCCAAAACTAGGATGAAACAGCTGTCCAGTACTCCCTGTGGCTGGTTTTCACTGGTTCTCTAAATGATATCAATCCGTGATCAACTCGTGAAAACAGAACAATAAAAAGTGGATAATCGTTTACAGTTTAAACCAACAAAATTTCCTACAATTATTAATCGATAATTGGATAAAGCCTTGATGTTTGAAGTGATACCTACTGGGGTTTCGAGTCTCAATAGGAGCATCAACCGTCGTTAACCCTCCCACCTGCATCACAGATACTGGAGAGATGGTGATCGGAAAGTCGCGACCTGGATTCTACACTTCTAGTCGACACCTAACCGAAAGACAAGCAACTCATCAAGAAGAAATTGATCAATTGCAATCAGACTTACCGAAAGTAAGATCACAAAAGTTAGGTATTCAGATCAGATACCCAAATGGCTTCTGAAGCAAAGAGAATCCCCAGAACCACTCATTATTGATGAGAACAGGAGACCTAGCTCCTCTATTATGAAACATATTATAGACAAAAGACATAAAATTGATTTTTACACGTCTTTTAAACCTATCTATAAAATGTGTTTGGGGTGTATCCTAAAGTTTGTGGAAGCCCTAGCTGGCAATTAGAAAGTTTAAACCATCTTTATGCATTCAAAGTAACAGTTCGTCATCACACTAAACCACCTTCCTTGGTAAACTTTGTTTTGATACCAGCCAGGGTAGATGTACTATTACCTCTCTTATTTGGCTTAGTGATCTTCATTGTTATTTTGACCTTCAACATGGTGGCCTTTTAAATTGACCTAAGTAGTTTATTTTCTCACCTCTTAACTCTTTATGATTTTCTTATGACAAGTCCGTGGAGTGTGATCAGATTGTTCGATATAAGGGTTACACAAATAACATTACATGATTCAGACAGACAAATTACGTCTTCTTATTGCTTTGTATAAATAAATAAATTAGTGATATATTACAAGGGTGTTTTGTATTTGCCTTTATTATTCTTATTCGCTTGCGTATCGAGTGGAACATAACACGACTTCAACAACACATCCCCACTTAACTCTGTTCTCTGTCGTCCACTTTAGCTGGACCCACGATTTTCCACCAACTTTCATCTCCTGCTCCTCCTTTTCCTCCTCCTAACACAATCTGCTTTTCCATGTCACTCTCAAAGTGACACCCAACTCGTCTCTCCTTTCCTATCGGGTTCCACTACAGAGATGATTTGGCTAGCTCGCGATGTCATTCAAACGTCTCCTCAGACTGAGTCCGATTCTCCCATCTCAATTTCTTTAGGGATATTTGTTTGGCGATAGATTCTTGACTAATTCGTTCGCAGAGTTCTTTTGTTGCTTGTTCTTTCTGGATTTCTCATCTTTACTATGGAGCTAGGGGAAGGCAGCTGTTGATTGGCTATCTTTGGAATGAAATGCCCGGGGCCTGTGTTAACGTTAGGACGCTTTAACGATGTCGGAAAATTAACATCTTGATATTGGTTTAGTATTGGTTATCAGTGTTGGTACCCACGACAAGCATGTTTCATCCTCTGTGTAAGATGTATCAACTCGATGTGCCTGCATCCTCGTAGAGTGAAGCTTGTTCCATACTGAGATACCAACCCAGAGCACTAAGGGTTTCAAATATCGAAACTTTGTATACTAGGCATCTCCTAGTCATCTAAATCCACGTAGCTTCACAATATCATTGGTTAACTTACTTTACCTAGATACCTAATACTCTATGCCTAACCTCAATATTACTGTGTTTATATTGGAACGACAGAAGACAAGGGCCAGGCAACAGATCTTTTACTGAGAAAATAAAGAGGTATTTATAGATTTTTATATACATTATTATTCATTATTGCTAGCAGAGAAGCAAAGTCTTCTGATTGAATGTTTTCCTGCTGAAGGTTATTCTGTTATCTCTTTGTGGCCATTTCTCAAAAAACTAAGTCATACACCTACGAATCATATTTCCACACTTCAACTCCGCTGTGATTGGCTGGTGATTTTCTGAAGGTTAAGCTTTGCTATTGTTTTTCCCATGACCCCGATTCGGAATGTAAACATTGACGAAAATTTTCAAGTGTTGGTTTGTAGGGATTTGATTGGTTACAGGATTTCATCATGAGCTGACATCAGTTAGAGAACTATTGGAAAACCAGTCAGGGAGTACTGGACAGCTGTTTCGTCCTAGTTTGGGACTCTTCATCAGTACGCACCCACACCACAGGGATTCGAACCCAGGACCTTCTGGTTACAAGGCGAGCTAGCTCGTAGACCATTAAGCCACTGGGACCCGATCCAATGGTCCATGAATTCTAACTTCTGCCAATTCACGACATAGCGCGACCCCTAGCCAATGTCTTCGGCGAGTATTTGTCCTCACGCCCGACCTGCTGCACCCTACTGGTCACGACTTCTCACTAGAACACCAGGTGACTACCCACCTGAATAGGGCAAGTCGCTAGTGAGCATCTCATTGATTTTCAAGTGTTGGTTTGTCTACAATTGTGGTCTACAATTTTGGCTTGCAGACAGCTCTCACCACAATATGACCTAACACGGGAGATACAACGAAGACACCAGTGATCAAAGAGAGCTAGTCTTTTCATATCTTTTAACTTTCAATAGCAACCATGTCTCAGTGATAAAGGAGGATAGAGCAAACTGGTTCTGCTCAGTAGTTACGTCCTTTGATCGATAGCCAGAAAGATATCAGATCCTGCCGAATCCTACACGAGATTTCGTCAGCAGCACTCAACCCGTTGGGGCTGATACCACTTCACAAGTAAGTTAAGTTGGTGAACACACTCTACCACTGCACGCTGACCGCTTCACTTATTTGGGAAGTACGATCAGGCCCAACGGGTTGACCTCTGACGAAATCTCAGCACGGATACAGTGGGCTAGTTTCGCATATGCCAGTTTACGCCATCTCTGGCGTAGATGTGATATCCGGTTATCGATCCAAGGGCGTGTGTACTGCTCATCAATCCGCTCCGTCCTCCTCTAGGGCTGTGAGTGAGACCTGGTCATTGAGAGTCGAAGACATGAAAAGGCGGGTTGGCTGTCTTTGATCATAGGTGCCTGCGTTCTATCTCCCGTGTGAAGTGGTATAATAAGGTGAGGAATATTGAGGTTAGGCGTCGAGTGCTAGGTAAGGAAGGGGAAATGAATAGACGAGGCTGTTAAGTTTCATCAACTGAGATGGTTAGGACACGCGTTACGCATGCATCTGTAGTTATCGCCTTCCTCGACAATAGACAATATTAACTGACTGACATAGGATTAATCAGGTTGGAAAAGAGCTAGCTAGTGGTGGACAAACATGGCTTTGTCAGTCAATCAAATTCACAACAGTTAGTTTAAGCCAAGTAGGAAGGTGTAGACTTCCTGGTTGGGATCCTCAGGACGGTAAAAACCAATGGCTGGAAACAGTTGGTGATATGGCTCAAACTCATCGTTCTCGATTATGGCGCAGATGCATCCTCTACTTGTGACTTATAATACCCGATGAAACTATATTGTTCTTCGTTATCACTATTCCTTTGTCTCACACCTCTGTTTGCTGTCTATTTTATGCATTTCTTCTACTTACTTCTCTGGCTTTGTGTGCTACATGGAGTGTGGCGACTTTAACTGCCGCACATATGTGCAAAGTTCCATGTCGAAAACAGACAGTAGGACAGACACTCTTCCACTTCACTCCCTTCTGTCCTTAAGCTAGGCAGTCGGTGTAGTCCAGTCTTGGAGCATCATCTTACAATTAAGTAGAGCAAATTGTATGCTAGACATACACCACGAATAACTGCAATTAATCAAAAATTCGCTGAGAAGAGATATACGAATTACTTAACACACTGCTACAAACACAAAGCCAACATCTGTTTTTTTTAAAAAAACATACCGTTGTACTAGAGCTGGAGATTGAATTTTCACCAAAATTCTGTGATAAAATTCCACGAATCAATCGATATGCATAAGTATTCATATACACTTGACAATCAGTAAGCTGTCCAGTTAATTTTATATCAGGCAATTCATGTACACTTGATGAAGTTAAATTACGCTCCAAAGATAAATTTAAACAAGAAATAGGCCGGGAAAGAATGCTGCATGGGCCAAATTCTTCACTTGTTGTATATTCAAATTGATTATTCACAGGAATGAATGAATAGGTTGGAAATCGAACTGGAGGATTATTCACACCTAAGTGAAATACATAAAATAGTAAAAAAGAGATAAGTTCAATTATTTTCAAAGCAGACACTAAAGGGGTATTATACACAATTAAGTGATTGCACAGCTTCCCCTGTCTATTGGAATAACATTTTCCAATGATCATAAGGACCAGGCAACAGATCGTTTATTTAGGAAATCAACACATATTTATTAATTTTCATGTAAGCAAACAAACAGTCTTCTGATTGGTCGTTTTCTCGCTGAACGTTAATCTTTCATCTCCTCTTTGTGGCCGTTTCTTGAAGTTCAGATTATCTATCTGCAAATTGTATCCGCCCACTCAAACTAAGTCTGCTGTGATTGGTTGTTGAATCAGTCTTTGTTCTTGTTCTTTTCTCACGACCAATATTGGGAACGTAAACATTGACGTAAATTACTATCTACCAATACGTCAGACAAGGGTGCTTATTATCACCAATGATAGTGATTCCTAATTGTGGTGGACTGGATTATGCATCAGACAGTGGGAAACGAGAAGACAGGGATATCCTGGACCACCGACGTGAAGAACCTAGAAGACCTGGATTTCGCGGATGACTTATGTTTTATGTCACACAAAATCGAAGACTTATAAGCGAAAACCGACAAACTGGTCGAAGAAGCAGCCAGAGAAGACAGGACTCCAGGTGAACATAGACAAGACGGAGGTTATGAAAATAACCAACTAACAACAACAACATCCAGCGCCAATCACCATCGACGGGAGGGATTTGAAAGAGGTTACTTCATTCACTTATCTAGGGAGCATTGTCTCAACTACAGGAGGAACGGACGAAGATGTCAAATCGAGAATCAGGAAGGCGAGAAACACATTCATCAACCTGAAACCAATCTGGAAATGAAATCTTCGTCACTCAGCATCAACAACAAAATTCGGATTTTCGATACAAACGTCAAGTCAGTCAGTTCTTCTATACGGATGGATCAGAAACTTGGCAGGTCACAAAGAATATTTCCAACAGCCTGTTGCAGACCTTTATTAACAACTGTCTTCACTCTATACTGAAGATTAGATGGCTGGAAACAATCACCAACAAGAAACTATGGGAACAAACAAAACAAACAGGAACCAATCGCTCAACAAATATGTAGGAGAAAGTGGAGATGGATTGGACACTCGCTGAGGAGGCCGCTTGGTGACATCGCGCGTCAGGCCAGTGCTCGAGTGGAACCCGAAAGGGAATTGGCGAGTGGGATGTCCAAGGGTGACATGGAGGAGATCGTGTGAAGAAGAGTTGAAACAGTGTGGACTAACATGGATGCAGGTGAAAAGTACATTAGAAGATAGAAGCAAGTGGAGACGTGTAGTTGAAGTCCTATGTTCCCCTAGGAACCCAAGGGAACAATAATAAGTAATAATAATTTGGCTAGCAGCCAGCTCTCACCACAAATGGACGTAGCATTGAGAAGAATTATAAGCCATATCACCAACATTCTTCAACCAATGATTTTTACACAACCCAAGGAGTCGCAGCAAGACAATAACTCCTAACTATTTCCTGACCGAATCATATGTCAACTAAAATCTCTCGATAATGAAGACAGGTAATACATTTAGGCGTAGAATTTGGGCACTGTGTAATAGAATGTAGTTCCGTATTAGATAAGTTTATTTTCAAATATATCACACACACAGTGACGATGCGGTATTATTAACAATTGGATGTGACAAGGTTTCGAGCATAAATTACTACTGAAGTGGTATAATAAGGTGAGCAATATTGAGGTCAGGTGTCGAGTGCTAGGAAAGGCGGGGAAATCAATAGACAAGACTGTGAAATTACATCGACTGTGATGGTTAGGACCTGTGTTACGTATGCCTAGTCATCGCCTTCCCCGACGGGAAATGTTAGCTGATATAGGGTCAGACTGGAAAAGAGCTAGCGGCGGTCAAACCAAAACATGGCACCAGTCAATGAAATCCACAACTGTTAGTCTAGGCCACGTAGGGAGGTGTAGACTTCCTGACTGGTTGGGGTCCTCGGGACGGTAAAAACCAATGGTTGGAAACAATTGGTGACATGGCTCAAACTCATCGTTCTCAATGGCTGGCGCAGATGCATCCACTCCTTGTGACTTATGATTTCCAATGAAACTGTTTTGTTCTCCGTTATTACTATTCCTTTGTCTCACAACTCTGTTTACTGTCTCTAATATGCATTTCTTCTACTTTCTTCTCTTGCTTTGTGTGCTACATGAAGGGAGTGTGGCGACTTGAACTGCCGCACATATGTGCAAAGTTCTATGTCGAAAACCTACCAACCGACCGACTGCTCATAATCATATCAGTTTAGTCATACTGCTTCACAATTTGTCCTAAATATATATATTTTAGAATGACAAGTGGAACAAGTGAAATAATACCGAGGACAGTTAAAAGTGAAACTAGTAATAGTAACAATTGACTTAATAAGGAAGAGTAAACAAACTGAACAGACAAAAATGAAAAAATGAAGAATTGGTAGAGCTAAAATATGATTGGGGATTACCATACTTTAGCATAGAGGGATTAAGACCATGAAAGTTGGAGGGGTTGAACGAACTTTTCTGTACACAGAGATCTGGCTTTTCTGTTTCGATAGCCAAAGATGGCTTCAGCAATACAGATGAGTCGCTGTTGACCAACTCTATGTGTGTTTATCAATTCACCTGCTCGTGTGGAGCTAGGTATATCGGTCGTTCGACACGAGTTTTGTCCAAGAGGGTGCAAAAACACTATCCCCTGCATGGTTACGAAAAGGTGGAAGTGGAGCAATAAGAAGCGCGATCATTGAACATCTGGTCGATAATGATCACCCTATCTCTATAGCTTCCGCCTTCAAAGTCATCTACAAGGCAAAGAGTAATTTACCCGACTCATCTGTATTGCTGAAGCTTTAGCTATCGAAACAGGAAAGTCAGATCTCTGTGTACAGAAAAAGTTCGTTCAACCCCTTCCCTCCAACTTTCATGGTCTTAATCACTCTATGCTAAACTATGGTAATCCCCAATCATATTTTAGCTCTACCAACTTTTCACTTTTTTCATTTTTGTCTATTCAATTTGTATACTCTTCCTTATTACATCAATTGTTACTGTTATTACTCTCACTTTTACATATATTTTCTCTCTCTTTCTCTCCCTCCCTTTTCCCCTTGATGTTTGTTGTCACTTTGTATATCTCCGGTATCATAGGCGTTGCGTCATTCCGATTACACCTGTGCCGTGTTGAATCTAACAGTTAAATAACTACCCACCAGAATTTATTCAGAAATATACGACGAATCATGAGAAAAAAAATAAGATTAGTAGTCGAAAATGCCGATGACGGAAATGATGCAGAATACAAAGTCTCTGTAGTACTGTCGCATAAAGAAGGAACATCATCAGACGCCTAACGCAGGATTTTCAATGAGGTTGGAATTAGTTAAGGTGGCATTTAAACCAAAAACAACCAACCAACTAAGCAACTCTCTCAGAGATAAACTTTGTCGGATTAAGGACCCGCCCGATAGATACGATTAATTCGATAGATATCCTTCTCATGTTAGCAATTCCAACTGTATATACAAATTTACGTGTATCTGTGGGAGCAGTTACATTGGAAGGACAGAAAGAAGGGCATATCTACGATTTTCTGAACGTGTACCAAAAAGCTTACGTCTAAAGGGAACAAATGCTTTAGGCAGTGCCATCGCCAGGCATCTCCTAGACACGGGTCATGAGGTGGACGTCGAAAATTCGTTCAAAATTATCAATAGGCAAAAGAGTTCAATTCTCCTCACGTTTGCCGGTGCGATCTCCATCAAGCGCCTGAAATCTGATTTATGCATTCAGAAAGAAACAGTTATCAGTCTTTCTTTGCTCTGATAACTGGATATTTTTCATCCGAATGCGAGATACTGAAAAGTTTTCATTTTGTTTGATTATTATTGCTCGGAATAGTGTTTAATATTGCATATACATATATTATTAGTGTATGCGTATATTGATCGATTGATTTTTGTTTAAAATGAACACTGTGCAAGTATGTTAAAATTGTTTTTGTAGATACATTTAATAATGTCTAACGAGAAGACAACGAAATAAAAGATGGTACCATTTTATTCTGCTAAAACTGTAGTTCTTGCTTTGTTCAAATTTATTAAGGGGAATAAATGTATGAAAAATAATGCAGAATTCAAAAACTCTGTAATACTGGCGTATAAAGAAGGAACACCATCAGACGCCTTACGTAGGATTCTCAATGAGGTTGGAATTAGTCAGGGCGGCATTTAAACCAAACAACCAACCAACTAAGCAACTCTCTCAGAGATTAAGTACCCATTCGATAGATACGATTAAGAAAAAAGAAAGTAGCATAATTTATCAAGTAACATGTGACAATGATTGTGAGGTCAATATTAAAGCATAAGTCGGCCTAGTAAATCTGGGTCAATTAGATTATCGGAACACAGAGAGAGAGAGGTTAATCACTGACTGAGTCTTTGTTTATCGATTCAACACCACACACACACACCTTCAATCGAAATGACGCAATGCCTATGATACCAGAGGGATATGGAAAGTAGCAAAGAGGTAACACAAAGGGAATTTGAAGGGAAAATATGTGTAAGATAAATTGTGAGATGGTGTGACTAAAATTGATATCATTATGAGTATAGGAATAATTTATGCTCGAAACCTTGTCACATCCAGTTGTTAATTAATACTGTATCGTCACTGTGTGTGTGTGTGTGATATATTTCAAAATAAACTTATCCAATATGGAAGGAAGACAGATAATCTGAAATGCCTAACACATTTCCTAATTATATCAACCGACTAAGCTTCACAACCTTAATCAAGTGAATCTTCCTTCCACCTACCTTAACTTCAATCCCACTTAGCGAATTATACCACCTAACACGAGAGACAGAACAGAGACATCACCCATGGTTGAAGACATCTACGCAGCAGACGAATTTCAGATAAATCAATCAACCAAC